AGAGCAATAAACTGGGAGGTGTCTATGACAGAGAGTGCATCAGATCACCGGTACATTGAGATGGAGTTTGCGAAAACGAAGTCTCAAGTAGACAAGGAGAACATGCCGAGGCCGAAAAGATGGTCTCTGAAAAAGCTGGATGAGGATCTGTTCAGGGCTGCGATTTTAGTTGGCACTTGGACTAAAGGGGACTCGACACAACCTCAGAGACTGGAAACTAGGGTCGATAAGCTACGGAGGACAGTAATGGATGCGTGTGATACGGCGATGCCGAGAACTAATCCAAGACCTCGAAGAACTATGCCTTGGTGGAACGAGGAATTAGCCACACTCCGCGAGGCCTCAACCAAGGCTAGAAGAAGACTGAAACGTTCTCGAAAGCACGAAGACATGGATGACCGGACGGAAGCCGAACAAAGAATCAGGCTATACAAGAAGACTAAACGAAATCTCAGTAAAGCTCTGAGAAAGTCCAAAGCGTTGGCGTGGGAAGAATTTGTTGACACCCTAAACGAGAACCCTTGGGGTCGGCCGTACCAGACGGTCATGGGCAAGCTCAGAAGGTGGACACCTCCCTTCACGGAGTTGCTGGAGGAGCCAACACTGAGTAGGGTACTGGACGGTCTCTTCCCTCCACCCGTGGAGGAACTGGAAGAGTGGATAGAGCCACCACTCCCAGAGCAGGGCCACAGATCATGGCAAGACAACTTTAAGGTCTCCACGGAAGAGCTAAAGGCGGCTGTAAAGAGAATGATCGACAGAAACGCGGCCCCTGGTCCAAATGGTATTCCCGCAAAGATCTGGGCGATTGCAATTTCTGAAATGGCAGAGGATGTCCAAGACATCTATACGGAGAGTCTGAAGGAAGGCAGTTTTCCATCAGTGTGGAAAACCACAAAGTTAGTTCTCCTCAGGAAGCCAGGAAAGCCAGACGATCAACCGGCGGGATATCGGCCTATCTGTCTCTTAGACGACGAGGCAAAGATCCTGGAGAGGATAATAGCAGAGAGGATTACAAGTCATCTAAGCGGAAGAGGCCCGAACTTGAGTACTTCACAGTACGGCTTTAGAAGAGGCAGGGCTACGGTGGACGCAATCCTGACAGTGAGGGGCTTCATGGAGTCTTCTTTTGAGCAGGGACGGGTAGTAGTTGGCGTATCACTGGACATAAGCAATGCTTTTAATAGCATCCCGTGGGAGGTGATAGGCAAGGCACTCAACGAGCACCGAGTGCCATTGTATCTGCGCCGGATCATCAGGGACTATCTGAGAGATAGGAGGCTAGTGTTCCCAAACAAGGAGGGAAACAGCGAACTTAGGGTGGTGGAGAGAGGGGTCCCTCAAGGATCCATCCTGGGTCCGCTGTTGTGGAACATCGGTTTCAACGGTGTGATAAAAGAGGAAGATCTCCCCCAAGAGTGCAGAGTCATCTGCTACGCCGACGACACCCTTGTACTGTCCTCGGGCAGAAACTGGGAGGAGGCAGTGATGTGTGTAGGCGAGGCGGTTAGAACAATAGTCCAGAGAATGGAGAAGCGCGGTCTCACGGTGGCCCCGAAGAAATCAGAGGCTGCGGGCTTCTGCAAGAAAGGCAAGATCACGAAGGCTGGCGTCAGGGTGGCTGGAACGGAAGTCCAGATTGGAACCAGACTAAAATACCTGGGGCTGATCTTAGACTACAGATGGACCTTCGCCCCACACTTCATGGAGCTGGCTCCAAGGCTGGAAAGGGCTGCGCTCTCCCTTAGTAGACTGCTGCCGAATATTGGAGGCCCAAACACCAAAGTTAGAAAACTCTTCACGTACGTCGTAACGTCCATTGCACTCTACGGCGCTCCGGTGTGGGCGTTCGACATTCAGAGGAATAGGAAGATTCAGTCCACTCTCAGAACCTGTCAAAGGAGAATGGCGGGGAGAGTCGTAAGAGCGTACAAGACCGTCTCGTTCTCAATGGTGACTGCTTTGGCTGGTATGCCTCCCTTTGAGCTATTGGCGAGGAAATATCAGGAGGTATATGAGCGTGTGGCTGAAATTAAGGAAACGGAAGGTATACCAATCCCTCCGAGAGCCCTGGAGAGAATACAGGAGGTGGCGCAACGAAATCTCGTACTAGAATGGAAGGAGTGGCTGCATCGTGCGGAACATGGAGGCGGAGAAGTAATCGGAGTAATCGGTAACAGACTACAAACGTGGTTAGACGCAAAAGTGGGTTTATCCTTCCGAGCAACGCAGATAATTACGAGTCACGGCTGTTTCGGAAGATTCCTGTGTCGCATAGGTAAAGAGAACACGAGAAAGTGTTGGCATTGCGATGCGGTGTGCGACTCAGCATCGCACACCTTACGGTACTGCCCGGCATGGGCTGACGAGCGCGAAGCACTCATAGGAGTCATAGGGCAGGATCTCTCGTGGGACGCAGTAATTAGGGCCCTATGTAGGAGTTCAGGTAGAGGGACCTTCATTGCTTTTTGTGAGAGAGTTATGTCGCAAAAGGAATCTGCGGAAAGAAGCAGGGAGGGCATACCTCAGCACGCAGTTAGAGCAGTAGAAGACGACGGAGGATAGACGCGCTGTAAATAAATATAAGCGATGAATGAATGAGGGAATGAATGTATATGAATGCATGTAGACAATAGTTAGGTAAATGTAGGAAGGAGGATTGCTCAGACCGACTAGCGGGATGGGCAGGGGGTCTTTCTCCCGACACTGCTGGGCTAGTGGGACCTCTACATCTCTAACTTGGTTCTCCCCTCTCCCAGCAGCCTAGTGTGTGAATAACGTATATTTGTACACGATAGGAGGGCCTTAACGGACACACCGACTAGCGGGGTGACCGGGCCAATTTTAAAGCGTAGAAGTAGGCGGAGGCCGAGCTGGGTCTTATCCCAACCCTCCGGATACCCTGGGGGCGGCTAACGGGGGCAGGCCGCTCCCATTTTCGGGTTTGACGTAAGGTCAACAAGACCTTAGAGTTAGGGTGGGTACAGGGAGCCGGCGTCTCCTCGTGCCCGCGGTGTGAATGAGCTAGGATCGCGTAAGCGACTTGCGAGGGCCTGATCGGATGTATTGCAGAGGCAGAGTTCCCGGTCAGGTCCTTTAACGCGCGAGGATAGGCACGCCCGCTGTGTTTTAGTCGGTAGGCCCCTGGTGTTGGATAGTTAACACCAGGGGAGAGTCCGACATAACCGCCCACTTCCCCCCGAAGTGGGTGGTGTGCGTAACGCATTTCACAGCGTCAAAAAAAAAAAAAAAAAAAAGGGCTGAGCAGGGCGGGGGGTTGAAGTTGGTTGAGAGGTCAGTATACATGTGGAATTGAGAGCTCCGTTAGGAAGATCTGTAGGAGTACATTAGGTTGATATTCAGTGAGAAATATAATAACGAGAAGAAAGAGTGCAACAAACGAAACAGAAGGACATAAAAATTCGAATCAGAAATATTAAGTATTCGGAGAAATCATCGTCGAAATAGAGTTATAATCACACGTGCGAATAACATGAACATGGCCGCGCTCCGAAAAGTGATATCATGACAAAGGAAGGTAGCGATGAGCATGAAACGGAGACAATTCTAGTGCTACATTAATATATGCGAACATATCTGATAACCCTATTAAACTACGATAATAATACAAGAAATTCCTGTGCAGTAAAAGAGGGGAAAACTAGTATACAGACGCCTTAAACAATTACATGATAAGAACTAAATAAATAATACGATAAATAGCATTAAGTGACAATTTAGATTGAAAGACTGCGTTAAAATCCCGTGAATGCACGTAGTTGTATGTTGAGTGAAACTGACGTGGCGGGCAATATGTGACAGATAGAATAGTTGATTAATGATAATGGTATAGAGAATATGCTAGCTCAATCGTATGGGTAGGACTTAAAAGCATAAAATATTAAATAAATTTTTATGTTAGACCTTAAGTTGTTTAGTGAGGATAATAAGAAATAATTAAGTAGACAATCAAAAGAGAAAAATGAAATGTATGTAGCGGCAGAGCCGAGACAAAGAAATTATAGTCAATTATTTAGATCAGGTAATAAATAAAGTAGAAAAGAAATAGTAGTATAAACAAAAATAAGTAAGCGTAGATACGAAATGGATAGAGAATATTAAAATAAAATAGAGTACGAAATAGGATAAAATTTTATTACATACAAGCTAAGTAGGATTAAAAGATTGGTAACTGGATGTACGGAAAGAAATAAAGAAATAAGGATCTCATATTTTTTACTTCACAACTAATTTAAGCATACTTAGATGAATAGTTAGAAAGATATAGAAAAAGTGGAAGTGAGTGTTAAAATAAATAAATATAACAGTATCTTAAGGAGTATAGTCATAAGAGGCAGAGCTGTGGAGGATCCAAAGCGGAGACATGTGAAGCTGCAATCTCGGAGCATTTCTAGTGTGGAGGCTAACGTGAGAGCGGTGCAGAATCTGATGAGGCGAGGATAGATGTGCATGAGGAGCGTAGACGGAGAAGCCTGAGTGGGGCAGATTGTCTGTCAGTACTAGTCTGGAGTACTAACTCGACTAATGCTGACATAAGGTAGTGCGGACGAACACCGCGAACAAAAACAGTACAAATTGTCTCGAGTTGTCTCTACGTACAGGTTGTCTCTGTGTATGTCTGAGTTAAGTTCGTGAACTCAATCTGTGTATAAATATATATTTGAAAGAAGGTTTAGTATATTAAAAGTATTAAATAAAGTAAAGTAAGATAACCGAAAAGAAACAATAGAATTGATTAAATAATAATAATTAGAATTGATACAAGAGACAGTACGTTTGCGGAGGATCTTATTAAACAGAAAGATCGATGGATTTGTGTGTGTGATCGAAGTGAAGGAAAATTTGGGAGAAAATTTGAAGAAAATAAATAAAAAAAAAAAAAATATTAAAGTATAAAAATATATATATCAAGTAGAGAATAGTAGGCTAAGATAGCGTAAATAGGTAAGTTTTGAGATACACTGAAGGTGAACCGTGTGAGAGGTGAGCCGGATGAGAAGAGCGAGTTCCTGATAGCCTGGATGTGCAAATGAACTTAAATATATAAGGTTCGGTAGTGGTCCGTATAAGAACTAGGAATCTGGAAAAGAAAGGAAAATAATATATAATTAAAGCAGAGTTTGTCTCTGAACAATATCGATTTAGAATAATGCGCTTGAATTTATGTATGAAGTTAGTTTAGTTAAACCTGTAGTTACTATATTAAAATATTTAGACATACATGATAAATTTCGCATCCAGAAGAATATGCCGAAATAGGTAGAAATGGAATCCTGTAAATAATCTGATATTAAAACTAAAACAGCTGATCAATGAATAATAAAGATAAACGCTTTAGTAATAAGTTAGTATAAAAACATAAATATCGATTAGAGAATAGTAGGCCAAGATAAGGTAAATAGGCAAGTTCTGAGATACACTGAAGGTGAACCGTGCAAGAGGTGAGCCGGATGAGAAGAATGAGTTCTTGATAGTCTGGAGGTTCAAATGAGCTTGAATATATAAAATCCGGTAGTGGTTCTTATAATAATTAGGAATCTGGAAAAGAAAAGAAAATCTTTCAATATATAATTAGAGCAGAGCTTGTTACTGATCAATATCGATTTAGAATAACGCGCCTGAATTTAGGTATGAAGGTAGGTGAAACTTTGAATAATTAGAAAGCGAATAGCGTACTAGGATAATGTTATAAAAGTACTGTACTAGATATTGAATGATCCGAGTCGGTCGTGGAGTCGAATGGATAAGCCCTGGAGGCGTAGATGTGTATGTGGGATATACGTCCAGTGATTTATGCTAGAACCCGCATAGTAGAAATCTGATAAAATTAAAAGAACACAATCACTGTTATATAATGTTGAATTAACTAAATGCTCATAAATCTTATATCAACACAGGAGCAGGAGTATAAGTAAGAATGTTATAAATGTGTCGGTAAAATAGAATTTGACCATTCATGGTAAAACGCGAGAATAGATACAAAGAAGAGAATATAAATCGAAATTTGGAAAACGCGAACAGATTGAAAAAAAAAAAAAAATTATAATAATGAACTTGCCAAGTAAAATAATACAGGAAAAAAGAAAGAAAGTGGAGGGTGGAGGTAAACTTAGTAAAAATAAAAATTCAGAAGACTCCAAAATGGAACGTATCAGGGATATGGAATGTTCTCCATTTAAAAAATGTGATATTATAAGAAGATCTCCAGTGGAAGAGGATGCAGAAATAACTACTATGAAGAAGAACTCACCCACGAAAAGAGGAAGTTACATGGAAAAATCGCATTATAAAGAGACAAAAATATCACAGGAGCCAATCTCACTATCGCAAGCAGTCACTAATTTGGAAAAAGCTGCATCAGGACTTACACCACCTGAGAACGAGGACATCGCTACAAAGATAGGTATGGTGGTTGATGAATCTTGGACGTTAGGGAAACTCCTAAAAAAAGGAAAATTATGGAAGGAAAAGAGACTCTGGTAAAGGATATGAATTTACTAGATTGGCTGCAGGAGCTGGACAGCGGAAGTGATGGTGAATCTGAGGATTGTGCAAAAGGAGTAGATAAAATTTCAACAAAAAATAAAGTTCGGAGAATAAAGCAAGCAATAAAACTTTTGTTGGAAAGAGCGGACGGAGGAGAGGAACGCTACTGGAAAGAGGTAGCTCAGAAACAAGAAAAAGAAATTGAGAACTTGAAAAATGATGTAAAAAGACTAGAAGACACAATACAAGAAATGAGAGAACAACGAAAGAATAGATCACCTTTAGAATCTCCAAAAAGAAAGAAGAGACCGGAAGCACTTAGTGAAGCACCAAGAATAACTAATATGAAAACGTTGAACACGAATCAAAGATACAAAACTACAAACTCAAAAATATGGCAAGGATTGAAAAAAATTTATTCCGACACAGGAGATAGCGAAACGACAGACGGGGATACAAACAAGTGGGATTCTATTAAGGATCGATACAACTATAAAAATAAAAGTGAAAAAATAGAAGCAAAAAAGTATAACAGAAACTTACAAAGAAACGAGGCTAGGTTAAATTATAAAAATAATTGCATACAAACAAGAAGGGTTTCCAACAGCAGTTCGAACTTAAATGAGTATAGTAGGCAGGAGAACAGAAGAAATATGGAGGTAGATAGCAATAGAAGAATCGACTGGACGGAGATGCGCTCAAATAACTATACAGAGGATGGAAATAAAGAATACGATACATACGACGCAAGGAACCAAGGACGACAAGGAAGAATTAACTTAAGAAACACATCGGCGGTTACCATGTTTTGTGGTGGGAATATTGGATACGCGGAGGCACTAACAACAGCAAAAGAGAACATAAACTTACAAAATCTAGACATAATCAATAATATGAACATCAGAAGATCGATGACAGGAGGATTGATCTTTGAGATACATGGACAAGACCAAAAGTATAAAGCAGATAAACTAGCGGAAGAGCTTAAAGAGGTATTTAGAGATAAAGAGGTACACATTAACAGGCCAACTCCAAAGACGGAATTTATAATCTCAGGTCTGGATGATTCAATCACGGAGCAGGAGGTAGAAGAGGCATTGGTGAGACTGAGTGGACGGGATTTTGAAGGTGGCAAAATGGGACAAATCAAAAAAGCGATAGATGGGATGGGATCGATATGGATCCAATGCCCCAGCACAACAGCAGCGAGGATATGTACAGGAAACAAAATAAGAATAGGCTGGACGTGGGCCAGTATAGAAATTTTGAAGAAACGCCCTCTGAAATGTTTTAAATGCCTAGCGAATGGTCATGTAAGAATGAACTGTGACAGTAAGGTAGATAGAAGGGGATCATGTTTCAACTGTGGAGAAATGGGACATAAAATAGGAGACTGCAGAAATAGGTCGCATTGCCCAGCATGCTATGAAAATGGTTTTTCATATACCCACAGAACTGGCAGCAACACATGTAAACTGGGCACAATGAATATGCGGTACCTAACACGATGAATTGGAATTCGCATCAAGAAAACATATCTTTTCGGAAACCTAAAAAATAAAGGAATTAGAGATTCATGATGCTAAGAAAATAAAAGCAAAGATAACATAAAATAATATATGATAGCCATTAATTAATTAATTACGTGAATGAATACTAGTAGCTGGTAGAAGCTCCGCTGGCAGGGGTCAAAGTAATAACGCCAAAACTCGTATATGTAGGAGGAAAGAATGTCCTTCTCCTTCTCCTCAATAAAAACAAAATAAAACCTTATTAAAAGATATCATAATATTTGTATACTAGAACCAAGATAGATAAATACAGAATACATATGTTAAAATTAAATCAGATTTCGTTATAACACAGGTAACACTATAAGAGTTCAGTATCTTTTGATAGAGGAACATTAACTGGTACATTATATAGTATCAAATCGTCAAATAAGGACAGAAATAATAAGTGGATATTTAGATGACAAAGGTAATGAAAAGGAATAATAATTTGTAAATACTAATGTATAGCAAAGGAGGAATCCGTATTGTATATAGAGATTAGATTAAGTCATTACTGCGTTAAAGCGTCCTTATTGGGTTGTCTAGTTATTTATTTATTTATTTGTTAACTTATTGACTAAGAAAAGTGATCTCGCGGAAATTTAATAGATAGAGGAAATAATGATTATATGTGTAGGAATGTTAAGATATAAAAATATTGCAAGATTTAAACGTATGCAATGGAAATATAAAATTTGGTCATGCGATGGTTATTAAATGGATAAACCTAGTAACTCCAAAATTATAGGAATACGAAACTCTAAATGTTATGCTTAGTAAAACTTGCGTAATGATATTGTATATAGAGATTTAGATTAAGTTACTACTGCGTTAAAGTGTCCTTATTGGGTTGTCTAGTTATTTATTTATTTATTTGTTAATTTATTGATTAAGAAAAGTGATCTCGCGGAAATTTAATAGATAGAGGAAATATTGATCATATGTGTAGGAATGTTAAGATATAAAAATATTGCAAGACTTAAACGTATGTAATGGAAATATACAATTTGGTCATGCGATAGTTATTAAATAGATAAACTTAGTAACTTCAAAATTATAGGAATACGAAACTCTAAATGTTATGCTTAGTAAAATTTTTGTAATGAGATGAAGGATATAAACCCTGCGAACAGAACATAAAGTAAAATACAAAAAGGAATTAATCAAAATTAGATAGTATAAAATTTCAAATTGAAAGTAAATTGATAATACGAGCGAAAGGTAAAGAAGGAATTATGTAATGAAATAGTAACGGAGGAAAGTTAAGATATAGGTACTATAAAGTGATTGGACAAAAAGAAATAATTAGATAAGAAATTGTAGGTGTGGGAAACTACGCGATTAAGTTAGGTAGATAGTTATAAGATGAAATACTTATGCGAAATATTTAGGGTAAAGGAATGTCACGCGCAAGGATATAGACTCGGACAAATGGGTGGCATTATAATTTATAAATTAGAAATGGAAATCTTGGACTATACGATCGAGGATAAGGTCCATCCGATGCATCCATCACAGCCGGGTGCTCATAGGTACGGAGATGCGACATAGGTCTGTATAAATGTATACCTGTGAAAAGACAAACGTAGATTAATAGAGGTTATCTAAAAAGTACTGATGCTAAGCTACCGGTAAAATTAAAGAAAATGCTATTGTGAGCTACAAAATATGATTAGTCGTATACGTAGGAAAATAGAGTGTAGATTAAAATAAATTAAATGTAAACTGCAGAGGAGATAGGGCAACTGTTAAAATAACAATAGCTTCTGGAAAGGGTATACAGGGTTTTGCCATTTAATTTGGAAACACCCTGTATAGTAGATGTAAGGAGTGAATGTTGCGAATGGATTACACAGGTAAACAGCAAAAAAGATATGAATGCCTAATTTGCGGGGCTTAAACTGATATGGTATTATAAATTGAGGTCTATTAAAGAGTAATTCAAGGCAGAACAAGTGTTAATAGAACAATGATACACAGGATTTTATTATTGGAAGACATTATAAAATACGATAATTTGGAAAGGAAGGAATATTATAGATACTTACCGAATAAATAGCATAAATTAAGACTGAGGGACGAAAGATAAAAATGTTGCAGGCTGCGGTGTAGAGGTTATGGCCGTCATATAATTCTGTAGGCACGGCCTCAAGAGTTGAGAATTCCGTTGAACAAGGAATCGTAACCTGTAGAGAATATATGGCATTTGTAAATAAAATAATGATGATAGGAATAATAAGGCTAATACAAGCGAGATCAATGAGTGCGAGGATGGTATGATGTACGAGGCAACGAAGATGAAAGAAAACACCGACGTTAGGTTAGTGGTTACCTGTTGTGACGCGACAACGCGAGGTGTGTTCAAATTTGGAGCGAAAGGCAAAGGCGAGCCCACACGCTATAGGGCGGACCCATATAAACGCTCGATGATTGGCTACCGCGAGGGATATAACGAATAAATGTGATAGGAATAGGTACACAGATAGTAGGCACGCTCGATTTTAAACAATATAGAATGACCCGTATACTAAAGGGGGATCCGTTCAAACAATGGCTGCGTTCAGCAGAACGTTTGTTTTACAACTGTTGGAAGTTTCCTTCGTGCTGATTGGATCATACTTTTAGATCTAGAAGAATGGTCCTATCTCAGCAGACAATCATAAAACGGTTGCAAAACTGTTGAGTCTGCTGAACGCAGCCAATGGATTAAGGATAACGTAATGAATTACATATGTACAAAACTTGAGGCGATAGGTAAAGGCGAACCCGCATACTATAAGGCGGATCCAAGCGATATATAAGAGTAGCATGCGTAGAACTGGAAGGTAGCAATACATATACCTGCGAAAATTCAAGTTAAAATCAATATAGGGTAAATCAAAGCAATAAATTTAAGGTTACTAGTAAAACGAAATGGAATAGAGTAAGTTGAGATAAGAAATATCGCAATAATATAAAGTAACATAAAAAGAAAAGTAAATGTACGAAATGGAATTATACTAATTGGTCATGTGATAGTGATAACTGAACAGATAAACATAATAAATTCAAATTATAGGAATATGAAACCCTAAATGTTATGTTTGGAAAAAAATTTTAGTAAAAATATGAAGTACATAAACCTGGTAAAAAGAACATAAGGTAAAATATAGACGAATTAAGCAAAGCTAGATAGTAAAGTAATTCCAAAATGAAAGTAAATTGATAATACGAGCGAAAGGTAAAGAAAGATTGATGTAACGAAATAGTAACGGAGGAAATGTAAGATATAGGCACTATAAAGGGATTGGACAAAAAGAAATAATCAGAATAAGAAATTAGAGGTGTGGGAACTTACGTGATTAAGGCAGATAGATACTTACGAAATGAAACACTTATGCGAGATATTGGAGATTAATAAAGACAATCGTAGACTAATAAATGTTATCATAAAAGTATTGACGTTAAATTATTGGAAAAGTTAAAAAAGGTGCTGATTTGAGCCACAAAAATATTATAAGTTGTATGCGTAGGAAATAGAGTGTATATAATGTAAAATAGAATAAATGAAATGTAAATCGCAGAGGAGATAGGGTAACTGTTGAAATAACAATAGCTCTTGGAGAGTGTATATAGTAGACGTAACGAGTAAATGTCGCGAATGGAATACACAGTTAAATATCAAAAGATAGGAATGCCTTTGCGGTGTTTAAACTGATATTATAGTAAAAATTGAGGTCTATAAGAGAGTAAAGCAAAGCAGGATAAGTGTTAATAGAATAATGATACACAGGATGTTATTAGTGGAAGATATTTTAAATTACGAAAATAGGAAAGGAAGGAATATTATAGATACTTACCGAATAAATAGTATAAATAAAGGATGAGTGACGAAAGATAAAAATCTTGTAGGCTGCGGTGAAGAGGTTATTGCCGTCAAATAATTCTGCTGGCATGGCCTTAAGAATTGAGAATTCCGCTGAACAAGGAACCGTAACCTGTAGAGAGTATGTTGTATATGTAAATAAAATAATGATGATAGGAATATTAAGTTTAATACAAACGATCGTAAAGTGACGTGGAAGTGAAGTGGAGTTAGGGACCTTGGATGCCCTTGGGGGATGGGGGGGTGCGCCGGGGGGGCCTTATGTGCCCCGCGTGGCACAGCGCGTTCTTGGAGGCGCATCCCCGGCGCGCCTGCCTGTCCCCTGTGGGGGTGGTCGAAGGGAGGTGTAGAGTAGTGCTTGGTTTTCGTGACAGAGTTTATAAAAACGATAATCGGGCGGAGTATAATTGCCAACTGGGGACGATAGATCGTCGCCAGAAGGCGTGCTGGTTGCCGCGGCGGAGAGGGTGCGGGAGTTGACGCCGAACCATGCCCAAACTGTCCGTGGGGCCCCTTGGGTGGCGCCACCCGCATCGGTGCCCCTGGGGTCGGAGCCAGGGGAGCCCCGAAGGTGGAGGGCCTAGCACAACAGCCCAAAACTGGTAAGGGCCTGGAACCCAGTTTGCGCGATGATAATTCCGCGTAACAGAGGTATATGCGGTTCCCCCGGGGGAACTTGGGGACTTGCGTTAGACAAGGAGGGTATACCCTGGATCGCGAAGCCGATGCGGGAAATAGGATCAAGCAAAAATGGATACAAATAAAAATAAAGCATCAGAAGAGGAAAAGAAAAGGAGAAATATAAAAAAGGAAACGAAGGATAAGGACGAAGAAGAAGCGGGAACATCCATACAACAAGAAGTAAGAGTTGATATGAAAAGAGAGGAACTAGGAATAAGAGGATATAGGGGATCCCTTTTCAGAAAACCGGGTCCGAGGTTCATGAGATCCAGGATAAAAGAGACTATTGGAGGTACGGATTCTTCCGCTATGGAAACAGAAACTGTCGAGATTGGGACAAGCTCGTCTGGAAGTGAGATGGATGTTGACTCTGTAGGTAATAAAAAGAAAAACAGAAAAGCGGTAATATCAG